TGTCTGTTTTCTTGTTTCAAAAATGCAGGAATGATGTTCAGTTCAGTAAAGTAACCTTTAAGTCTAAAATTCTATGTTTCTCTGTAGCAACTCACAGAATAAATGAGAGAAAACAAGATTTGTGACCTGCTCTTTATTTATAACATCAGAATAAAAGGAACTTTCGAGGGAAGATGGAAGGTTTGTGTTTCTGTTAGGCAATTATTTTCAAGAGGTGTTTTTATCTTGGAAAAACTTTCCAATTTAATTGAAAAGAATTTATTATTTATATCCTTTAGGCCAATGGTATGTATTGTCTTTAGAGTTATAATTGCTTTATAAGGGAGTCTTTAGTCTGCCCACTCTTTTTTCTACCTTTTTGGCATCTCTAGGTATAAATCCAAAGGGAAATGTGTGTGGCAGAACAGAAAACTATTGAGTATAGTTAAGGGCTCTCAGTACTAAATCCAAGTATTTACAAGTGAAAGGAATGAGGTCTGTGGCATTGGTAATGGGATTTAAATGGATTTAGGAACTAAGGCTGAAATAGGAGCCTAATTAGAGAAGATTCCAGGGTCATCATGTCAGTTCTCACCTGTCCGTCAGGCAGACAGCCTGTCCACAGCTCTCACTTCAAAGAATGGCCTGTTCTTCTCATCAGTGTCTCTTGCCTCCCAGTTCTTCAGGGAAAAGGTGCCTTGGCTGCCCCTTGCAACTTTATGTGTCTGTAGCTGTGTACTGAGCATGGGTTGAGATTCAGCTTATATCTGGACTCTAAAAAAGGCTACTGAAGACTCAGAATATGATATTTAATAATTTTCTTAAAGAGGTGTGGGAAAAAAATCATATTGGATAAATCATCTTTGTTAGGGTTGTCCTGGTTTTAATTACCCTTTTTAAAATAAGAGGAAAGGACACAGGTATGGAATAAAACGACTATCTGCCCCTGTTGATGGGAGAGCCACACTTATAATGAGCCTTTTATTCCTGTCCTTGAGATCTAAGCTACTGAACATTTATTTGCTAAGGTAGACCTCTGTTCCTTTACTTCTTTTCTAATTCACTTTGGGATTTCCTACATGACAAATTCATGTCTTTAACCTACCTTGGTTTCTCATGTGGAGTTTATTAGTCATGGAAATTCAGTGCCCAGAGTAGGTGGCATCCAAAGTCGAATGAGGGAAGATGAGGCTGAGGTAGGGCTCTATCTAGCTCAGCAAATCTCCTAGGGAGGGTCTGTGTCACTGCATATGCTATAGTCAGTGTTTCTACAACTTGGTGAGTTGGGACATCTGAGAACATAGAAAGTTCTATTCTGTTCTCCTCTGTGCTTCCCTTTGCTCCTGGCCATCTTGTAGGTGCTTGGTGAGGGCTGTTGCTAGATATGGAGAGTCCAGAGATGGTGGAGAAAGGGCATGGAGCAGAGATGGCAATTGTATGACAGAGTCTAATGCTGTGTGACAATCCTGCACCATAGAAGTAGAATTTTGTGTTCTTTTAGAATCCATCCCAACAATATTTCCCATCATTTAGATCATTATTTAACTTCAAGCTTCAGTGCTCAGAGGTGATTCCATTGGCTTTAGCTTTAATTAAGAAAAAGGAAATCATTGGGAAAGTGGATTGCCCTTTTCAATTTCTAATTAACTTACAGGCAAATTTGTTTTCTGCTAATGACCCATCCACATTTTGTTTTAGACTTTCACCAAATGTTAGGTCAAAGTTTTCATAAAAATAACCCAGATTTTAAAATTAATATTATGGGATTTTTCCCCCCATCTATTATAATTGACTGGACTTCTTGGAATTCATTTCATAAACCACAGAGTTTGCACTATCAGGAATCAAACATGAGAGCATTTGTATGATTATTCATTGATCTCAGAACATTCTGAAGGAGGTCTCCTTTGATTCTGCATATAGAAATCTACTTATGCTTCTCTTTTGGAATTAACAAACCAAGAGCAACAAAAAACAATGAATTGGGATCTAAGCATATGCAATCCTGATTCTTAACCCTATGGAATATATACTCAATTTATCATGTATTTATTTACCCATTGTAGTGTTACCTTGATATCATTGGAAACGTGCTAGGCCTGCTTGCTTAATCTTACCTTTCTTACTTGTTGATTGAGGTGGTAGAGTGGAAATTATTTGGGGTCACCCTGGTGTTAAGAGCCGGTACAACTACAACTAAAACCAAATTTTAACCTGTAGCTTCTATGGTAACAATGCATATCAAGGAAGTAGTTTGTGGAGAAAGTAAGATGAGTGGAAAAAGATGAATAAGGAGAGAATAAGACTGAAAAAATGTAAGGAGTGAGGAGAAAGGAGAGCAGTGCATTGAGACCTGTCCATAGAATATCCAAACATTCTCCTCTTATAACCAGCCCCTTCTCAGATTATATGTGAAACCCCAGGTCGCTCTGATTGAATCCAGCTTCCTGGGAACTCAGAGGTTTTCAAATTCTCAAGTAGTAGAATTAATTCTTTTGTCAAATGAGATCTTATATGGATGCACAAGATATAAAAACAAAGTAGTATTTTATTAATATAAATTTACTGTATAAGTTAACATAACATTTATTTAGTATAAAATTACTTGTTGAAAACTACGCTATTGAATAAGCATAAAAATCTGAAATTTGTGGACATGGGTGACACTTCTTTTTATCAGCCACGACATCCAATTTCTTTGTTTTGTTTTAAATATACAGTATCAAAGAAGTCTTGTTTCACTCATTTTGAAAAACTAGAGATATACAAACAGCATTTTAAATAGCTTTAATATCTTGAAGGAGGATAAATTGGTAAATTTGGACCTGAAGACTGTTCACTTCCAATACGTTGCAAACATAGATGCCATCAGTACATAGGACAAAGGAGGCAAAGTCCTCTCAAATTGACATATTTACAGTGGGTGCCAGCAGTCTCTGTAAGGTGGGAGAGTCCTATGTGCACGTGCTACTATATAACACAGTGTGGTACAGTGTCCAGAGCATGCCCTGCACTGTTAGACCCGAATTTTCTGTGGCATTTAATTGGACTTTGCACCCTCGAGTATGGTATTTTGCTGGCTTTAGGTATGCAAACACCTAAATCTTAAAGAACGAGCAGTACAGAGCTTTGGCCTTACAAATGAACAACATCTATTAGTTCAAACACATGGATAGAGATGGAAGGAGACACTGAACCCTGAGATGGGCACATAGTGACTTAACTCGGCAGCATAAGTCAACAAATTGTAGGACCCGTGTGTTCATGTGTTACAGGCAGGTTCTGCTTTCAATTACAATTAAATATGAAATTGTCTGCATCAAATATTATGAGGTTGCTAAGCATTTCCTTGGAACTCAGGGTACAGTGTCAAAAAACTCTACTCTGGACCAGGGTCCCATGCTCACCAGGCCTGGCATCCCTCACTAAATTGCCTCAGTGCCAAGGAATTATTCTAGTGGTAGCAAGTGAGCTGTATTTCCTGAAATTTATGGTCACTTTATTTTGTTATGGTGTCCTCTATTCGATGATTTCTTATAACAAATTTATGCTTTTTGTTAGACTATTCCTACCTAATTCTCAGGATAAAGCCCTAACACCTTAATTTGGTTTTCAAAGTGTTTCTCTCTACCTTTTCAAAGCTGTTGCCCCAAACACTGCACCCCGACAGAACTTCACATTTCTATTTTTTTCTCTTGCTTTTGCTTTCCCTTGATCTAAAATCCCCTTCCCTTATATCTTTTCATGTGTAAACCTTTATAATCAAGACCTTAGAAGTCATCATTTTTGGCCCAACAATATTATATACACTGTGTATATGTGCGTATATATGTACGTATACACACACACGCCCACACTCTATACACACAATAGTGTATAAATCACATAAAAGGATATTTAATGACATGGAAATATTTCTGTCATTATATTAAATGGAAAAACAAATTGAAAAATATTGTGATTTTTTTCCTTTGGGGGCGGAATATATAGGAAAAAATTCCTGAGAGTTCTACATTCACAAAAATGTTGCTAGTTTGTGGCACTGGAGAAGAGGTTTATTTTACTTACTGGTGTTTTATGTTTGGGCAGTAAATCTGTTTTACTTTTGTAGTAATGCATACATTAATAAAATGTATCTCTAAAGTACAGAGTACCTTATACCACCCTTAAATAAAATTTTGGAATATTTGAACTCAAAACTCTTCCAAGTTGTCCTCACAATTACTTATATATCCAGGTATTTTAAAGGATGTTTGGCCAACATTAGTGGTGCTAAGGTGGAAGGTAATGCTGATGCTCAGCCCAGTGTATCTTTGATGCCCCGTACTGTCAGGCAACTGAACTGTGCTTTTGAAAATCATCAGACTGTCTGTTCACTCATGTTTGCAATGATGCCCCCCTTGCCTCCAAGGGTTGTGTCACACCTCAGATAGTCACTAATGAGACAGAAATGGAGATTTAATATTTCCCAAAGACTTGGGTGACATTTTTTCAAATATTCTCCTCAACAGAAAAAGAGGATGCAATTCTGCTGTGTCATAGTTGTGAATAACATGTTCACAAAGAAATGCAACTATGATTTCTGGTGAATGTATTATGTATTATGTGAAGGGAATTACCCCTCGGTCTGTTCTGCTCTTCTGGAGTCCTGTTGTCTTGCTTTGTGGTTTATTTCTCCACACACACTCTTTCTGAAACAAAGAGGATATATTTGGTACTCACTGATTTTTTAAAAAAAATTTGGATTAGGCAATTTTCCTTAAAACTTCTTTCCTAATTTAGCATGAAGTAGAATTAAATAGAAGAAATGAAGGGATTTATTTGGACATATCAAAATAAGAAGAGGAATTGTGTGGTTATACAGCAGACTGTAAGAGGGCTGGGGAACGGATTGAAGAAAATTATCAAGCATGCATGTTGTTTTTAAGTGATACTTGAGACCGGGATGTGCAACAGCTGTGTTGTTGGCTTTTTTTTTCTTGTGCCAACTTTCTTCATTTGATTGATTTTCTCTCTGACAGCCCACTGTGCTGATAAATGTGTCCACGGTCGCTGCATTGCTCCAAACACCTGTCAGTGTGAGCCTGGCTGGGGAGGGACCAACTGCTCCAGTGGTAAGTTTCCACCTGCTGCTGTCTGTCTTGGGATGTTTTTGCTGTATGGGCCCCCTTGTCTGCAGATTATCCTGAACTACAGTTTCCCTCTTCATCCCTATGCAGAGCATGGTGTGGATTGCAAATCCAACTCATTCATACAGTTCCTTCAAAATCTGTACATGTATTAAATACAGAACTGTTGTTAACTGAATATGAAGAAAAGCACTTGGACAGAGGGGGATTGCAATAACCTGATACTCATACTGCTGTGAATATGGAGGGATTTTCCAAAGTAGGGTCCAGAAGTTAGATTCCTCACTTCAGGAAGGCAGTTATGGTAACATAGCTATTATACTCTGCTGCTGTATTCACTTGTTGCTTTTCTAAGATACTTTCTTGGTGGATAAAATTTACCACCTGTTGGTTTTAACTCAGAAGTAAAATTGATATTTTTGATGCTAACATATCTATTTGTTTCTGAATTCTGAGATGCAAGCAATGAGCGCTTGCTCAGATGAATTTGGAGAGAAATATTTGCAATAAATGAAGGTTCGTGAACATTTTGGTACTTGTTAAATCAAATCTTAGTATATAATTGGTCATAGCATGTAATTTGTTTCCATTATGTTAGAATTGTAATTTTAAAATGATGGTATTTTGGACTATAAGCAGCACCTAAAATCCCGTATTCATTATTATGAAGATTAAATGAGGGAATGTCATGTAATATAGTTGCCTTTCTAAATTTCACAGTTAAAACTTAAGTCTTCTGGCTAATTCGATGCTCCGTGTGTAATTGCGTCCACTTCCTGTTCTTTTCTACTTCTTTTTTTGCCTTGAGAAATGTGAGGGAGAATTGAGGTGCAACTAAACTGTAGTGCACAAATTTGTTCTCACTGCTACCAAATAATTTTCTGAAATAGTCTGAAAGGATGTTAAGCTGTCTAGATAAGCTGGCTTTAAGAATTTTACTTGCTTTCTTTGGAATTGGTGAGATTACTCTTTACCTTGTTTCAGACTTGTGATCTCTTAGCTCTCCCTGAAGAAGTATCTCCAGGGGAAGCCCTCATGCTGTCTGGGCACAGAACACTTGTTGTGAAAGAGCCTTTTTATTGCACCTTGAACAGGAATTGTGTGTGTGTGTGTGTGTGTGTGTGTGTGTCTTTCTGCCTCTGACAGGCTTCTCAGTTCCAGTGTCTTGCAGGGTTTTGTTTTGCTTCTGCTGGAAATCAGGAGCAGAGTGGGCATTTTGTTCCCATGCCATTGAGGCAGAATGTTTGGGATGTGGGATTTGGCTCATGTCCACTTTTCTGGCTGACTGACCTCAAATGTGATGTTGCTTTCATTAACTTTTCCAGCTTAAAAATCAATTGTGCCTAGACATTTTGAAGAAAAATAACATTATTATAAACTAGTGGGAAAGGGAAGAGTGGGTGTATTCTTCATTTGAAAAATGAGGTTTGTTACTAATTCCAGGGAAAGAATACTGTGGGATAATTTCAGTTGTATTCATAATTTGTCTCCAAAGAATTGTGGCCTACCTCAAGCTAAGGGATCAGACCGAAGAGCGTTTGTGTGTAAAAAAAAAAAAAAACGCCTACATGGGTTTCAGACTCTCTAGAACTGATTCAGGCCTTCTAGAAAATAAAATGCTGCTTTATTTTGGAGTTTACTGACTTTTGAATGAAGACTCTAGAATTCTGAGCTTATATGTTCTTTTAATACTGGAAGATGATATTGAGACAACTTTTAGTTTATTCTCTATGATTCAGTTTACATTTTGGCTATACAGTGAACAAAAGCATAAACACAAACAGCTGTTTGAAGTCTTTAAAGATATTCAGAAGAAAACATTTCTGACTCCTTTTTCAAGCACGTAAGAAAATGCTGTTCTGAGCTGAATCACTCACTGCGTCTTGCTACTTTGTTTTTATCTGTGGCCATTATATTAATATCAGAAAATGTATAATTTTGTTTATTCTTGAACAGGTAATTCTGGAAACAAAGTATATGCTGTAGTAATCTACTATGTAGCAGAGTTAAAATGGCCTAATTTCCAAGGACTCTTATTTCTCTTCCTCTCTGGTATTGTTATGTATAAATTTGATGATATATGTTGTATCCATAAAATGATTGTTTGGATAATTAGATTGGCTCCTTGTACCAGTCAAGGTCCAAACAGGAGACAGAAACCACAGTAATTTTTTTTTGGAATAAAGCTTTTATTTTGGAACAATTTTAGATTTACAGAAACTTGCAAAGACGGCCCATATACCCAAACCCAGTGGGTAACTGGGAGACCATTGTTAACCTCTTAAATTGCCATTAGTTTGTCAAAACTGAGAAACTGACATTAGTAATTAATTAGTACTTAATTAGTATTTAATTACTATTAAATGTACTCCAGATGTTATCTGGATTTCATCAGTTTCCCATTAGTGTCCTCTTTCTCCTCCAGATTCAGTCCAGGGCACCACACTGGACTTCACTGTCATGCCTCCTTGGTCTCCTGTGGTCTGCAACAGTTTCTTAGTCTTTCCCAGTTTTTAACAACCTTGATAGTCCAGAGGAGGACCAGCCAGGCATCCTGTAGAATGTCCCCCAATCTGTGTTTGTTTGGTGGTGTTCTCATGATAAGACTAGGTCTTTGAGTTTTGGTAAGAATACCACGGAGCCGAAGTGCCCTGCTCATCACACCCTATCATGATATTCACATGACTTGCTGTCGATGTCATCATGTGGTTGACCTTCATCACTTGGTTATGGCAGTGTTTGCCAGTCTTCTCCACATAGTTACTACTCTTTCCTTTTTCTACTCTATTTCTGTGGAAGCAGGTCCCTAAGTATAGCCTACTCTGATGGGTAAAGGGCAGGAAGTAAGCTCCATATCTTTGCTGTAGGCAGCACCTAATCACACCTATGTTATTTGGAATTCTTCTATAAGGAAAATTTGTTTCTTCTTCCCCATTTATGCAATTATTTATTTATATCAGTATAGACTTATGTATATGTATTTAATATTTTGGGTTATATAAGTCAATATTTTATAATCTACTTTGTTGCTCATATTGTTCTAGCTTTGGCCATTGTATCTTTTTGTCATGCCCCATCCTTTTGATTTTGAGCACTTCCTTACTTAGTGGTACTATGAGATACTCCAGCCTCATCTTGTATTTTTCCTACCCTAGTCCTTGAGTGAGCCATTTCTCAAAGGACCCCTGGTTCCTTTTATTGGAGAATGGTATTTAGAAACCAAGATCTGGGTGTTGGGTGTGCTCATTGCTATTGGGACACATAGTGAAAGGAGAAAGTTTAATATAAAGGATTATTAACTAACTACAACAGAGATTGGAGTAGTAAGAGATTGGCTGGTAAGAGGTAGAAAGAACTCTAAAGAATATAGGAATAGCAGATATAAAAAGCAGCCACTACCTCTAGTAGCTGAGATTGAATGCTCAAAGAAAAAGTCTCACTAAGGCTGTGATCCAGACCTTGTTAGAGAGGGCATAGCCACAGCTCACTGAATGGCAGAGAGGTTGCTGTGGTACTGCTGTAGAACTTGCTGGAAAACTGCTCTCTGGAACTTGCTAGAAATCTGCACTATAGGGTACTTGAGAAAGCTCTTCATGGAGAAGTGTCTCATCAGAAGCACTCTGCTACAAAAAAGGGGAGTTGTTGGCTGATGGGTGCTGCTAGCCACCGTGTACTGCAGGAGCTGGATGCTGGAGAAGCTGTCCTTGCTACAGGAGCTTGGTGCTGGAGAAACCACATGTGATGCAGAAACAGGGCACTGGGAAAGTGGTAGGTGCGATGGGAGCCAGGTACTAGGGAAGCCATTGGCACTGTTCTTACCCTGCAGGAGCTAGGTGCTCTAGGAGCCAGCTGAGCTAGCACACTGGAACCTTCTGCAATGTCTCTCCAGCGCCCTCTGCTGAAAATGTTTAACATTCGGCCCGCTGGCAAAAGAATAAAAAGCTTGCAGGCAATGAAGGATAAATTCAGAGCACAGAGGCAATAAATTGGTAGCTATAGCAATGCACCTCATTGTTTACTTAGTTCCTATATGTGGTCTTCTACATACATTTGAATTCCTTCACATCAACAGAACAACTCTGTATTTCCACTTAATATGATAGAGCTATCCAACTTATAAGCAAAGATGTTCTCGCCATCTTGCCAAAATGAGGAGATGCAAGTCCCAACCATTGTATCTGTTGCTGGTTATATTAATTAAAAAACAAACAAACAAATCAGTTTCAGTTCTACTGAACAGTCTATTTCCTAAATACTAAAGTTAACTTCCAACAACATGTATGTAAAATAAAATAAAAATGGAAAAAAAGAGGAAAAAAGAAAATAGCAAATAAAAATAAACACATACATATAACAAGCAAATAGAACATGTTAAATGCAACTACAGGCCTCTTTTCTGTAATTGGTCACAAGGCTGTAATTGATATCCTTCTATGTCCCAGTCCATATTTCCCTCATCCTCAGCCCAGACCTCAGCTGCTTAAGGTCTTTTACCTGGTGGAGTGGCTTAAACCTTCGTTTCTGAAGAGTCTGAGTTCCCATTTGTCCTGCCTTCTTTTGGTTGTTGACATTTTCCATTAACCTTTACTACTAGGCATGGAAGTGTTAAGAGGTACTCCACAGAATCTCTGGATTCCAGACATAGTTTTCCTTTTGCTCATGTGTAGCAGCAGCCCAATTTCCTCTTGATAATCAGGATCGATCACTCCAGCCAGAAGAGTAATTCCTCTTATTGACATTAGGAGACTAAAATTGCCAGATGGCAATAAATTGATAACTATTCCATACAGTTATCTTTTTTTTTTTCCTTCCTAAAATACATGGGAGGTTAAGGGATTGACAAATACTTTCAAATGTACATAAAGACTTCCCTTTGAGATTTGATATGACTGTTTACCTTGTCAGTGGAGGGAAGGGTTCCTACCTGTGTGATACAATCAGTGTTTCTGAGTCTCAATGTATTATCTATATAAAAAACCGGGTGT